GTGTGGGTTGTGTTTGTTTTTTTGGGTTTTTTCTTGGGTTTTTGGGAGGGTTTTCTGGGGGGGTGGGGTTGGTTGGACAATATGAAGATCTGCTGACCACAGTGAAAAGATGAAAACTAAAATGGTATGGGCATGTCACAAGATCCACAGGACTTGCCAAAACAATCCTGCAAGGAATCGTACAAGGAAAGAGAAAGAGAGGAAGGCAGAGAAGGAGATGGGAGGACAACATTAAAGAGTGGACAGGAAAGACGATGGGTGACAATCTGAGGAGAGCACAGGACAAAAATAGATGGCGAGAGCTGGTTTTCCAATGCAGTGGTGCCCCAACGGTTGCCCCCACCACGGGATAGAAGAAGAAGAAGAAGGGGTTGGTTGGGTTTTTTTTAAAAGTTGGAATCTATGCTCTGTTTCCCCAGATTGGCTTCACCAGGGAGAACTCCACACTGTTTGAGCTGCGAAACTCCACCAATGACCTGACCTTTAACCTCACCGACCTTGACCCGGGCTACAGCTATGGCATCTACGTGGTGGCGGTCACCGCAGGGGTCAAGAGTCAGCCGTCCGACACCATCACAGCGGCCACCTGTAGGTTCACCGCGGTCTCCTCGCTCTCTGGCCCCGCCTCCCTGCCCCGCCCCCACCAACCAATATCTGTTTGCTAGCTCCACCCCTAACCGCCCCCACCAATATCTGTTTGTTTGCTTTTTTTGTCTGACATCTCCAGCCCCGCCCCCCACCAATATCTGTTTGCTTGCTTCCTCTTCTTACATCTCTAGCCCCGCCCCCTGCTCCCTCTCCCCCATCAATATCTGTTTGCTTGCTTCCTCTTCTTACATCTCTAGCCCCGCCCCCTGCTCCCCCTCCCCCACCAATATCTGTTTGCTTACTTTCTTGTCTGTCACCCCCACCAATATTTTCCCCACCCTGTACATTTATCTGTCGGAGTGTGAACACTCTCATACCTATATACCCACTTCCTTCGCCGTACATATCTAGCTCAGCCTGTTCCCCCCTGCCCTTTTCTTACCCTCCCTCACCCTCTGCTTTTGTCGCTTAAAATAGTTGAACATTCCAAGATTTGTATTTTCTCTTTCTAGTTTTACATTTGTTGCTCTGCCCCCTCTCCCATGCCTACTCCACCCCCACCTTTAGCCCCCCCCCCCTTCCCCCTCCCCCCCCCCCCTCCCCCCCCCCCCTTCCCTCTCCACCCCTCCCTTCCCTCTCACTTTCCCCCTCCTCCACCCTGTACATCTGTCTGTCAGAGTCTGAATCTCCCAAGATCTCTATATTTATTTCCTCCTCTTACACTCCGCCCCTTCACCCTGCCCTTTAGTAAATCCTCCCCCACTATCTTTGTTTGTCAGAATACTTGAATATTCCAAGACCTACTCTCTTATCCCATTGTATACTTTATGGACTCGTCCATGATGCATGTTGAAGGAAGTGAAAATAGAACTCACGTATAAGATTATCTGGAATTACCCCCCGGGGCAGTGCCACTGACTGTAGTGTCTTTAGGCCACCCCCAAAGGGGAGACATTTCTCGTTCAAGCACAGTAGAATTATAAATGGGCTGACTCATGTCACGCTCATAACTGTGCCTGATCTACAACAGGGAACTGCTGCTTTTTTCTTTACTAATCCTAACTATTGTCATTTTCCTCTACTTCTTTTGTATGTGACCTACTATTTCCAGGGTGCCTTGATAGTTGAAACAGACTTTGTGCTGTTGAAGCTAGAGAGGTGAACAGAGTAAGTCTGATTCTCTGTAAAGACTTCTCTGTTGACACCCACCCCTTGGCGCTCATATGACCTTATTCAGTCGCGAGCGCCGTAAAACCTTCTACTAAAACTATCTGGAATTATTACACAATATTATAAGAAGTTACCTTCTGCAGTTTCTTGTCTGGTCTGTCTTTGTAGCAATTTTTTTTTTAAACTAAGTGTGAGTACTTATGTTGTGGGTTGTCTCAGGGTGCCACTGGTGGGTCCTTTTTCTTTACCATCCTTCTGTTGTTTCTGTCTGTCTATCTTGCTTTTCCCCAGCATGATGGAAATGCCCATTATTGTGTTGACATGCTTGTTATTAATTAAAGCCAAACTAAATGGCCTGTACTTTGTTGATGTTCTACTTTTTACTCAGACTAAAAACTGCATGTAGATACTTTACCTGTCGCCACTGCCCCC